TATATATATAGGTAGAATGTATGTATATGTATATATGTGTGTACATCTGTGTGTGTGTAACAATTATCATATACCCAATATGTATCAATGTAATATTCTATATATGTATGTATGTATGTAACTCTCAGCTCATTATTCATAATTGTGGCATAGTTTTGTGTACATCAAGAGTACGAAATACATTCATTTGAACATAATATACTTATCTACAGTAAACGTTGGTAAATTGCAATGTATTAGCAGCTGCAGCAGCATTAGAGTACCGACTTATGTGTGTGTACATTTGTTAACTATACGAAAAACACGTTCAATATAAGACATACACCCACGATGAGACACATATACTAACACCAACAGCAACACCCACACACGTATACACTGTAAATTTTTGGACGTTATTGTGTATGCAAACATTTATCGTGTTCATTGTTAGCTTAAGCCGCATTATTTTCCAAAAACCAAACACATTTTCAATATGTTAATATCTAACTTACATTATTATATATATGTATGTATGTGCTAAGTATATTGCATATAAAATAATACGAATATGCAATTCTTAAGTATTCTTTACATAAAAGACATACCTTAATACCGGATGATGGATGGATTCTTTGCTCGAAAGATAGATATGTATATGGAAATATACCTGAAAAAAACCCTTTATTAAGACAGAAAACAGAAGTGTAGTTTGTTTTTCTAGCATCAAAAAAAAACTTAATTACCATGAAAGCTATAATTGTTTTATTATATCCTGATTGTTTATCCGGAGAGCGATGCCAATTATTTAAATGCTTTCCTATCGAAGATGATTTTAATGTGCTCAAGGCTCTTTCGCGATCCTCTCGAAGGCACCAGGAGGTTTTGCTAGAATAATATATATATGCACAAGTATAAAGTGTATATAGTTTCATCATTTAAAACTGCATATTAATGAAATATTTTGAGCTTCTCTTTATTTTCATAAACGAATTTTTATCATATTAAAAAAGCATTTATATAATATCGGAGAAGTCAATATATTAATATCTTATGAGAAAACTCATTTGCTAAAAAACACATTAATAATACATGTTATCTATGAATTTATCTGTAGTTACATAACTATTAACTGTAATTCTATTATATAAAATACATAATCTATCTAATCAGATCGCGATATATTGTAAAAGAAAAGTAAATATTAGTAAAGAAAATATGAAGCATTGCAAAGGGGAGAAAAATACAAGTAAGAACATTGCAGTCGGGGACTACCGACTGCATAATACTCATTCACGGTTGAATAATTACGAAATGTAATCAAAAATCGATAATATAGTAATAAATTAATGTAATAAAATAAT